TTTAAAATAAAGAAAATTCTGACACATTCCTCAAGCTTGCGTCAGAATTCTGAGGATGTTAAGCAAAGTAAAATAAGCCTGTTGCAAAAGATAAATTTCACAATTTCATTTATATGAGGAATCTAGTCAAATTCATAGACTAGACAGGGAGGAGAAAATGTGAAATTGTTTAATGGGTATAGATTTTCTTTTGCAAGATGAAAAAATTCTGGAGATTGGCTGCACAATGAAAAAGTAACACTAATGACCTCTACAGTTAAAAACGGTTAAGATGATAAACGTCATGCTACACATTTTACAATTAAGTAATTTTTAAAAAGTAAACATTTCTATATGCTAGCAACAAACAACTGTGAACTTAATTTTTAAAAATTTACAAGTTACATTTATGCAATGTAATTCAGTGGTAGGAAGAACTATGAAACCAGGAATAATCTGACAAAAGGTTTAAAACTGAAAACCAGGAACCTCAGTTGACAGAATTAAAAAATCTAAAATAAACAGAGAAATACCTGATTTTTGGATCAGAAGACCTGACCTTAAGCTTTTAATTCTTTCCAAACTAATCTTCAAGGGCAACAGAATCCCAAAGAAAATCCCAAAGGGTTTTCTTATTAAAATTGACAGGCTGATTCTGAAATTCTAAGAAGCAAACACCCAGCCAAAACAACTTTAGAAAAAGAACAATTTGAAGGGCAAAATCTATTTGTTCTGAAGTCTTATTCTAAATCTCTGAAAACCAAGATTGTGTGCTGTTGATGTAAAGACAGACACAGAATGAAGGAACAGATCCAGTTTGGGAACAGACTGATATATGGACAATATAACAGACAATATATGGACAATCATATGGACAATGATTCTTGACAAAGGTGTAAAAGCAATTCAGTGAATAAAGAAAAGAGTCTTCACGGGCAGGGGATTTAGCTCAGCGGCAAAGCGCCTGCCTGGCAAGCGCAAGGTCGGAGTTCGGTTCCCGGTACCGGAGAAAAACCAAAAAAAAAAGAAAAGAGTCTTCAGTAAATGACACAACAACTGATCATCCAAAAGTAAAAAAACAAAACAAACCCCTCCATGTGTAACTGGCACCCTATAAGAAATTAATTCAAAACGAACAGAAGTCCAATTGTTAAAACTTTTAAACACAAAGGAGAGAGTCTCTGTGATACTGAGTTAGATAAGGATTTCTAAAATTTAAAACTAAACATATGATCTATGAAAGAACAAATATTAATTTCACCAAAATTTAAAACTTCTGCTCTTGAAGACAATGCTCAAAGAATGAAAATATGAACCCCAGACTAGAAATAAGGTTTTTGCAAAACATCTGATAAAGGACTTGCATCTCAAATATAAAAAGAACTTGAAAATTTCAAATACAAGAAAACAATCCAACCAGACCTAAGAACACAACAGCAACAAGTCTTTGTTCTGATAAAATGCAGGCTTAACTAAATTAACTGAAGATTTGAATAACTCCAAATATGAAATATAGATGTTTCTGCCATAAATGCATGACATATTTTATCTTACAAACTCCAATATATCAACTGCTGTTTTTGCTTTATTTGCTTACCCGTTATTTACAGTTTGGCTATGTCTGTCCCAGTACTATTTTATCAAACTGGCTCCTAACAATGCTAAAAGTTGAAAGCTTATCATTATAATTTTTTCCCTCAAACGTCTCTAAGCCCTTTCACTATTTTATAAACAAAACATACCCAGTCATTTTAGCCATTTTTTTAAAAAACAGAAAGTGCTCCTCCATTTTGCCTATATTCTTCAGAGAAAAAAAATCAACAACTTCCACAGGGATTCTTGACACTATCTAAGGAAAATCAACTCGAGACTTCAAACGTCACTGAAATGACACTGATGCTATGATTCTTCCTTCATATGAGCACTCTTAACTAGAATTCAAACACTGGCTTGTTGGAATCCATAAACACCCTGAAATATTACCCTAAACAGTGTATTTTACTTGTAAACAATCCTTAATCCTTACCAAACGCCCAAGTGTAAATGACCTTTACCTGTGCCGTGTATAATGGAAAAGCCTACACTCAATGATAATACAAATAATTCTTATACAACATCTAAAAATGTATGTGAATGTACAGAAAAGATACAATAGAGAACAGAGAGCACTTTAAATGCAGACTTCTCTTTTCTAGACAGAAGTAATCTCATGAAGGAAATACTTGATCCCCTACACCTTTATTTTGTGTTAGAGAGATTGAACCCAAGCCAGTTCCACTGAGCTACATCCCTATCCCCTTTTTCATCTTGTTTTGAGATAGGGTCTTGCTACATCACTCAGGCTGGGCTCAAACTTCAGATCCTCCTACCTCAGCTTCCCAGAGGCTGGGATTACAAGTATATGTCACTACACCAAGCTTTCCTTCTATTTTTCAGTTCATGACATGTCACTATCTTTCTCAGGTCAATATATCTGTGCTAAATGAGATTTAAAAAACAAACGTTGTTAGGTAATTAATTATCTGTACATGGGTAGTCCTCCCTGTGATTATTGTGTAATACCAAAGAACCCGAAACTACCAGTGTCACAGGAACCAAGCTATAAGGAAATTACAACACATTTAAATGAAATCAAATCATGGAGGCTGTAGGACACAGTACCTGAAGTGATACTAGAAAGAAACTGCAAGCAGGAAAAATATGCATAATTTGAAAGTACTGGCATATGACATAAAACACCTATGATTAAAGGCATTTACTGCTTTAGCTTCCATACACTCAGAAAAGCACTGGCACCTGCCCATGCCAATCACCTAACTACATCAAACATTAAGAAAACACTTGGTATTTATAACAGTTGATATATCAATACCAAGTCTGTCCACTTTCAGAAACATATAAACACTGGGTAGGAATCTGTGCCCCAAATTAGCAGGTTATCAAGATCCAAAGAAGGAATGGGGAATAAACTAGGTTTCTTTGCGTAAACATACCTCAGAAGTTCCCACCCTTAATTAATTTTCAGGTTGGGGTCTACTTCCTATCCAGATTGGGAACTGGAGAGAATATTTTTACCACAGTCAGGAGATCACCTATAATTTGTGACCATTCAAAATGTGACCATACATGCAAAAAATACTGACAGTAACAACACCATTTAATATTTACTAAGGACTTAGTGCAAGTTGTGGCAGCCCTCACAATCCTTTATGGTGAATACTATTAGGACAGATCATGTAATTTATCCAAAATTACACAAAGAATAAAGGTGGGAACTAGAATTCCAAGCATGCTTAACTAATCACTATGCTAATAATGCTTCCACCTAGCAGTTTATTTATTATTCTGTAAGCCATAGGGAGCCAATGAAAAAAATTAAGGACAGCCGTAACGATCACATTTACATGTGAAATCATACTAATCAGCAATGCGGTGGGCAGACTGATGGTGGGGTGACCAAGAGTCTCACAGGGGATGGTCAAAGTCTAGGTCGAGAATGCTGAGGAGGAAATGAACCACAGGATTGCAGAGAAGAGGAAATCTAAAATGTGTACCTGGTAAATATAGCTGGATCTTCTAGTGCAGTGAGAAGAGAGGAAGGAAGCTACTTCTTAAATTACTAGCTTGGCACTGGTTAGTAATTACTGTTCACCAATTCAAGGAAGACAAAAGGACCTGCTGGTTTTGCTTGCTTAGGGGCTAGAAGATGACAGGTCCACTTAATCAAAATCAAAATGAGAGAAACCAATTCTACAGAATTTCCTTCCACCTTCATAGGGAAAAGCTTTCCTCATTAGAAAGACCTTACTTTTAAAATGAAGAGCCTCCAATGCTTTTTCAAAAACAAGGTGTCACAAAAAACCTTCACCATTACTAAACACTCATTTACAGATTAGCCACTAAATGGCCAGGCAATACTCAGACAAAAGTGACCTTGCTCTGGTAGAACCAGGGCTAGAAACCAGCTCTGCTAGCTTATCCTACTTACTGCGCCTACTTTATGACCCTCTCAACTCTACTAATGGAGATTCACTGTACGAAATATGTAGATATAATCACGTAGCAGTCTTTAATAGCAAAATTAGATGTGTTAAGTTTTAACGTCTAAGATTGATCTCATATTTTGCATAAAAACTCTAGCTTTCTTTCGAAAAACTTTTCTACGGTTATCAATTTGTATTCACTGTAACATTTTCTATACTTCACGTGCCAAATAGACGCCCCCTCAATCCTACACTTAGGATTGAAGAAATGACCCTCTTATTGCACTGTAAGAAACCAACGCGCCACTGACAAGGCCTGTGCCGCCGAATCCAGGCCAAGGAAACCCTGGCTTTTCGGCGCTGGTGTCAAAGGCACCCCAACTTCGAGTGACACCGGAGAAAGACACCGGCCTGAACTTGCTCCTCGCAGGTCCCGGGGCGAGCAACTTCCCCTTGGCCGACTGCGCCCTGGCCGCTCGGAGAAAGAGGAAGGAGCAGGAGGGTGCCGGTCGCTCGCGCCGCGGCTACGCGGGAGTCCGGGGGAGCGTGCGGCTCTGGGGGCTCCCTGCTCGTTACCCAAGTTGGCGTGGGCAGACAACGCGCCCCGCATCTGTGCCAACTGGTTCGCTGATGGAGAGATCCCAAACACCCTAACTACTTCGCCCTGTGAAACAACCAAACTGCCTCAAGTTTTTAGCCTTAGTGAGGCGACAGGAGAAGCCCGTGCTCGGGACGAACCTCGCTCGCTCCCCAGGAGCGCACCGGCTCCGCGAGCCCGCCCTCGCCGCTCAGCGCCCGGCCC